ACACACACTACAAGCAACACGAACAACACCCACACCACACACACCTACACACCACGTACTCCATTTACCATGCACACCACCTAGAGACCATCCACATGTAAATGAACCTCACACACATTACATGCTACACAACAACACGTTCCACACATCACAGACACCTCACGCACTCTAAACACGCCATGCCACACTCATACCCACCACTCAAACACACATAACCATGCGGTACACACAACTCACAATGCACACATGCACCATGCGCACAATACACAACAGACACATCACAGCACATACATAATATACCACACATGATACACAGTACACCACACAACAAAACAACATGTTACACACATGCGCCCGCATTTCACTTACCACACCACACATACACTTACCATGAACAACACAACACATACACACAAAACATACACTCCACACATCACACACACACATGCAGCATACACATACCACAAACACCACATATCACGTTTGCCTACCACACACAACTCACAAACATCCAACACACAGGCACCATGTATTCAACACAAATCACACATAGCATGTACCACATACACACAGCACACAACACGCATCACATACACCACACACCCCATAAACACCACACACCACATTCCACACATACTGCACAAACCACACAAACCACACACCATACACACTACACACACCATAGGCATGCACCACACATGGCACATATACTGTTCGTGCACCACACACACCAAACACGCCACATACATGCACAAACACATACCTCATAAACATCCCACACACACCTCATTGTCTGCACACATCACATACCACACATACACCACACACTACAACGTGCATCCAACACACAACACACATCTCACAAACACACTATACACAACACACTAGACACACCATAGTACCACACTCCTACACAATAAACATACCACAAACCACACAACACCACATGAACTACATACAACCATCACACTCACCCACATGACCCAATGTAGCACTCATACCACAAATGCATACATGCACAATATACACCTCCTATACAATACACATGCAAAACATACACATGAAACAACGCAACACACATCTCACACACTGCATACAAGACACACCATGTACTGCCCCATAACCAAACATGTGCATCACATGCCACACATACACACATCACATGCCATATACAATACACATGCCACATACATGCACCACTCACAGAAACACATACTAAATACATACTACATACCACGCATAATACATGTGACACAAACATGCAACATGCTCCATAAATACCACACACAACATATACCACACATTACTTGCACAACTCACTGCACTAACACACATTGCACATGACACATAACACATGCATCCCACATGGTTCATCACATCATGCACAATGCAACACACATAATACACACATACTACATGCACCCTACTCACGACACACACTACACATACACCACCCAACAGCACAGGTACCAAAGGTACACCACATTGTATACACCACACACACATCCTCAGACATACCACATGCAAACCACGTATGTTAACAGGAGTCCCACATAGCACACACAACACACACTGGACACAATGTACCTACTATACACGAATGCACCCCACATACCACATACAACATGCTACACACACAACACATTTTCCAAACACACACCACATGTACTATTCACATGCCCCCATCCTACATACCACACACAATCATACTGCACACACACACACCATTAGCACAAGCTATACCACAGACAGCACACACATGCATACCATGCACATATGCCATGCGCACCACATGCCACACACAATACATGCACCACATATACACAGCTCACACACCACCTAATACTGCACACACACAAGGTATATATCACACACACTACACACCACACACATACACCACACACACTGCACACCTTATGTTCATATCACACATACACCACACATATTGAAGCAGACCAGGTAGCCCCCCCCAGAAGACCCTTGCCATAATTAAGGCTCTCCTCTGGTCACATCACAGCTTGTCTCCAGAAGCTGTGTGGTTGGTAGTTCCCTCTTTCTTGTAATTGCCAGGTTTGCACAAAAGGTGCGACAGGGTTCATCTGCAAACTTATTGTGCATAAAGATATTATCTTGGCTTTCTTGGTAAAAACTTGTGCAACCTGTGTCTGGCCCAGGGGATGGAAGGAGAGCACTTTCCATGCAAAACCTCCAGGCCCCCAGCCCCCCACTGGGTATAGAGTTCAAAGAATCCCCAAAATCTTTGTTCAGAGGAAGAATCCTTAGGTGAGAGTCATCTCTGAACCCTGCAGCCAATAAACCTGCTTCCTGAACATTCCTCTTCTGTCCTACTTCAGTGTCACACGTTGTACCACCAACACCACCAACACCAGACTATGTACACATGCCAGACATGCTCACCACCCTCAACGCTGCACACACCAAACCACACACACACAGCACACCCACGCCACACACCAAACAGTGCACAGCATGCACCACAGGCCACAAACACCGATCACATACTCAGGCCACCTCACACCAGCTATGCACACGCCACACACACCATACCTGTGCATCATGCACACACCATACACACACCAAAGCCCCTCCCCCGTGTGCACACAGATGCGAGGCAAGCCTTGGCCGTACCTGTCCTCCTTTGCAGAAAGTGATAAGAAGTTTGAGGACCCGGAGTCTCCCAGGGAGCTAGGTGTGGGACACTCACAGGGAACCCAGGAAAATTCTCCAGCCACACGCCCTGCCCCCTGGCTCCGCCCCCACCGGGGACCTGGAGAGGGAGCAGCTGCAGGGCTGGCTCCCTACAATCTGAACTTTAAAGCAAAAGGAAACGGGTTGCAAGGGTCGACGACAAAGCTTTGGGTGGAAAAGTGTTGGTTGATGGGTTCCTTGCGGTCCAAACGATTTTGTGCACTAAAAATATGCCCATATCAGGAACTTTATCCAAAATCCAATTTACTGGCTTTTAGTGGCTGACATTGCTCTAGGGACCAGTGATGCTCGAACCTCAGCTTCCTTGGAACTCCTTGACGCCCTGCCACTGCTGTGACTCTCACTCTGGTCGGAAAGCCTAAGAGAATGCATTTCTCCGAGTCCCCAGGTGGGGCCACTGTGGCTAGGACAGAGAAGCTGGCCAGTCAGAGACGTTCTGCATGCAATCAGATGCCCTCAACTTTGAAACATTGATTGCAAACCGAAATCTCTTTTAAGCATCTCATTAAAATTTCAAGACTCACATATCAGATGGTTTTGAATGTTTTAAACACTTTCAACAGCAGGTAAAACCCTTCCGTGCAGCGTTATAATGATGACAAGCATTCGTACTTGTAAAGTAAATATTTACAGAAGTTGCCATACCGGGGATCTTCATTGGTTTTTCCAGGATCCCCATTCCAAATCTCATCTCTTTCCGTCCAGAAGTACAATTTCACTCTCCTAACGAGAAAGAGTTTCAGAGACTGAAGAAACAAGCAGAAGTTACACTTGTAGTCTGGAAAGACCCCTGGGCTGTGCCTTTTCCCGCAATGCCTCCCTGGAGACGTGGTTTTTATAGTTGAACTTAGTGTGTTACAGCTGAATCTATCCAAACCGTACACCTGACCAGTTACATGGGTGTAGACTTTTGTGACCTGGACTTTTCTCTTGCATATTTTTATTGTGAGATTCTCCCATTCTGCAGGATTCTGGAGCCCACACATACTGAATTATAAGAGCTAATTGTTGCAGGACGCGGTGGCGTAGGCCTGTAAACCCATTGGCTCAGGAGGCTGAGGCAGGAGGATCATGAGCTCAAAGCCAGCCTCAGTAAAAGCGAGGCGCTAAGCAACTCAGTGAGACCCTGTGTCTAAATAAAATACAAAATAGGGCTGGGGATGTGGCTCAGTGTTCCAGTACTCCAGAGTTCAATCCCTGGTACCAAAAAAAAAAAAAAAGAAAGAAAGAAAAAGCCAACTGTTGCATATTTCAGAATCCAACACACTGATAACTAAATACAGCCATTATTAAAAATTAAATTAAATAAACACAATTAAATAAGTCAGATTAAAATATAACAAATGCTCAAAAGTCATTGCTTCTTGTTTATTTTACTAATATCTACACCCTTGACAAAATCTATGCCTATTCTGTTGTAGAATACTTTTTGATGGTGAGCTACTTTACATCTTCTCGCAACTTCAAAAAAGGCTTGGAGTTACATTACACAGCTTGAAATCAGTCACAGTGGGAGAATTTTCACCACGGACATCAAAATGCTC